CGATAGATGCTATCGATAAATTGCAGTTCTAGTAAGAATTTCCAAATATTTTAATACATTTTAAAGCTAGGCAACTGCAATGATAAATTTAAGCAAACAATAACAACCAAAGTGTGCTGCAATGGATGCGACGGAAGACCAGCTAATACTGGCCACAGGCGGCTACGACCATACCATCAAAGTGTGGCAGGCGCACACCGGCAACTGTATTAAAACCATGCGCTTTGTAGAGACATCGGTGAGTGAGACTGCTGAAAACGGAACCACGCATTTGGTGACATGTAACTTATGTTTTGCTGTACACATCAACAGCAAGTTAATGCGCTTGACCGAACGCCGGATAAGACACGCCTGGCCGCGTGTGGCTATCAGTGTATACGTTTGTATGACTTGGAATCCAATTGCACGGCGCCGGTCATCAATTTCGATGGTGTGCAAAAGAATGTCACACGGCTGGGCTTTCAGGAGGATGGGAACTGGATGTTCACTGCTGGTGAGGATCATCGTGTACGCATTTGGGATATGATGTCAGCGCCGCCGCACTGTTCTCGGGTGTTCGACTGCCAGGCGCCCGTGAATGCCGCCTGTCTGCATCCCAATCAAGTGGAAATTGCAATGGGCTCACAAAATGGCGGCGTCTATCTGTGGGACGTGAAGTCAGAGGTGCATGAGCAGCTGGTGCCCGAGGTGGATGCCTCAATACAAGACGTGGCCATTTCGCCAAATGGCCATTATATGGCCGCGGCCAACAATAAGGGCAACTGCTACATCTGGGAGCTGAGCATCAGTCCCGACCAGCGTTTGAGCACAATGCATCCAAAAAAGAAAATCCAAGCACACAGCCGTTCCATACTTCGCTGCAAGTTCAGTCCCGACTCTGATCTCCTGGTCACAACATCGGGCGATGGCACCGCCTGCATTTGGAAGACGGACAATTTCAGTAAACTGCACGAGCTCTCTATTAAAAACTATTGGATCTGGGATGCTGCATTCAGCGCCGATTCCAAATGGCTATTCACAGCCTCCTCTGATGGCATTGCCCGGCTATGGAAGCTGCAAACGAAGAACTGCGTGCGCGACTACACGGGCCACACCAAGGCAATTACGGCTCTGTCCTTCAAGGACGAAATTGTGGCCGACTAACTAATAAGCATAGCCTTAGCTCTAGCTGTAAACGAATAGACAAATAGGTATACAAAACAGCCACTCGCATTGTCCGCTCTGGGACGGATGCTTGGATAATATTGAATAGGAACAGCAAAGAACCGATTCTGAATGGTTTCAGAATCCGATATGAAAGATGATGCTTGAGCATGAATCTTTTTGGAGGCAGCCGGGTCCGAGGCGACATTTGAAAGGACAAAGGACAACAAAGAAACAAACAAACAAAAAAGAAGAAAAACCAGAACTGACTCGAGTTCTACCTCTAAAATGCGTTTTTGCTTTTGTAGCGACGATTTTCATACATTTTTTTTATATATATAATCTATTGCAAATATATATATATATATATGTATATGTATATATTATTTATATGAGGAAATGCAATTTAATAAAAATCCTTATAGGCATACAATCCATGTAAGTACATATAAAATAATTTAAAATTTGGTTATAACAATTATCAATCGAATACGACAGAGGAATACATTATGACTGGGGCTCGTCGGAGCCCAAACAAAAGGAAAATATAAAAAAACAGACGTGATGCCAAAACGAAATGATACGCAATTATATTCAATTGACGTGTTTACTCCACATAGGGAATGCCTTGAGCGACTATTGACTCCTTGATGGGGTCTGGATCGTCGCCCAGCCTGTAGCCCACAATGCAGGTAACATCCACCGGCTTGCCCGTGGGATTCAGCAGCAACATCACTTGGTTGATGGGCGGCGATGGCCGGAACGGTTTGTGTCCGGGCATTACGTTGCCCGTGGGCGGCAACAAGCGCACCTTACAGGGCTGCAAGTAGAGAAGAACAGAGGATGAGCTGGGCATTGGCTCTGGTAATCTGGTAATCGACCCACCTTTTTGACGCTCGCCTCGAATTGAAAGTCTTTGACGGGCTGGCGGCTCTTGTTCTGAGCCGATATCACAATTACGGACACACTGCTACTGGGTCGCTCGTCCGTAATATTGAGGCACAGCTGCAAATCGTCATCGTCCAGCATAACACGCTCCTCTCCAATGCCCTGAATATTGTCCAGCTCAACGCTGATCTCGCTAAGGTGCTTCACTTGTTTTATAGCAGCTGTCGGCGCCTCCACAATCACCTCTTCCTTTGCTATGGTGGGCTGTGGTTCCACTTGAGGTTGGGGTTTAGGCTGTGTCTTTGGCTTTGGTGTAGCGCTCAGCAATGGCACATCATCCACAGCCTCTGGCGTTGGCTTCTCTGCGGGCTTTACTTGAATGCGATCGCGCGCCAAATCGTTAAGCGTCAATTTCTCTGGCTCACGCTTAAAGGTGCTCATGCGCTCCTGTGCTGGCAGTATTTGCTCAAACAGCTTCTCGCTCAGCATATCGATTTCGGGCATTTTGCGCAGAGCCCCAACCTGCTTGACATCCGCCTCCGCATCCCCAGCAGCACCACTGCCATTGGCCGTGGCGCCATTGTTGTCGCTTTTCGTTGAGCTGAGCACCTGCGGGGAGAGCAGCTCGCCATTGCCAGCCAGCTGAAATGGTTCTTGTTGTTGCTCCTGTTTGCTCGCGCTCTCCGCCAGGGCGCTGCTGAAGATTTCACTGAGATCCTCCAGAACATTAGTCTTTTTCGGAGTAGTAGTTGGAATGGGCGCGCTGCTCACGACGGGCTCTGTTCCGTCCAGCAGCAGGTCACCCAAAAGTTCGTTGATCAACGTTGCATTGCTGGCGCCAGGCGCTGTCGTTGCTGCTGCTCCGGCTGCTTTAGAGGCGCCGGCTGTGGCAGTAGTGGCTGCAGGTGGATTGGCCAAAGCCGTAACCGAAGCTGCGCTCTTGACCGGAGACGACACCAGCTGCTTGAAGCGTGCCATAGTCGCCACCAAGGCCTCATTGGTCTCCAGTGTGTCTTCTGCGAATGGCAAAGGGGAAATTATGAATATATCACAGACTATCGAGGTACACTGCCTAGACTTGCCTATTAGCTGTGTATCCGTGTCGCCCAACAGCTCGGGCAAATGCTGAAAGATGGGCTTATGCTTCTTGCAGCTCCGGTAGAGCTCGTGTATGGTCTCATTGACATCACAATCGTCGGGATTATAGCTGTCCAGCATTTGATTGAGCAGCTGCATCGTCTCCTGCACCTCGACCAGAACTAGCCGATGCTGGGCCAGCAATTCGTTGCGACGCGCCTCCTGCGCCACTCGATATTGCACCAAGAGATTGGCGCGCTTGAAGTTCTCCGGATCCTTGCTCTTGACCAGCTTGGCAAACATGGCCTCATCAATGGTGCTGAGCACGCTCTCACGTTTGGCCAACGCATCGGCCGTTTGGCCGTGATCGATTTCGCCCTCCTTGCGCAGCATATCGTATGCATCACGGATCTTTTGACGTTGCGGAAACTCGGTCGTCCACAGCAGCAGGCATTCCATGATCCGCTGCTTCACCACAAGCGGCGTCTCGGCCCCATCGTATTTTTTGGACACCAGTCGGATTAGCTCATTCAGAAATCTGAATTTCGCGGCTTCCTCCTGGAACACATCGCCGCACTGTGTCATGCATTCCTCCAACAGCTAAATATCAAGGTTTATTTACATAAGAAAGAGCAGAGTTAGCGAAATCGAAAACCGCAAAATTCCTTTAACTGTGTGGGTATGTGTGTGTGCGTGTGATTTTGATTGTGGGGCGTCACACTTACCGCAATTGCTCGCGTCGCCTCCTTTATATTGCTTGAATGCATCTTAGCCACAATCATGGACTGAGCCTTGTGCACCAGTTGACTGTTGCTGCGCACAACAATGCAAAACATTTGTACGCCGAGTTCATCGACACGATCTTTTGTTGGATTCGTTGCACGATCTGCATTTGCGGTTGTGGAAAACGGGGACTTTATTGAAAGCAATAAAAACGAGAATAGTTACAGTTTGCAGACGAGACTCACCCAACATCTCCGTCATAATACTCTCGTCAGTTGTCATCTTTACATTAAATGCTGTCTTTAGGGCTTAAAATAGCTGTGAATAATATTTAAGGAACGTATGTTTTTCGGTTTTGAACAACAATCATATTGTTGTAGTTCTCCTATTATGATTAGAGCTGTGCCGTGAGTCGACCAAAATATCGATAGTTGTCAAATATAGGATATCGGATTTAGTACGCTGCTATTGACTGTCAAGTGGATAACAGTAGGGATAACACTCGTAAGCTTAAAATTAATATTTATAAAATTTTATAATTCATTGTTTTTAATAAGAGATCGATGCTGATAACAATAATCAAATTCAATATGATAAATAATACAATAAATAGAAGCACATATATTCTATATAGCAATGACGTTAAATGTGTTGTTTTATGAAAGCCCTTTTTAGTTTTTTTTTTTTTCGAAATTAACATAAACGACTAGATTTTAATATTCGATTGCTCATTGTTTTGAAAGCTCATTGCAGCCCTGCATGTAAAACACAACCCTGGGCTCCAGCCGGAAATCAATTTTTGTGGCATTGACGCACACTGCCGCAACATGTTCTTTTTCAGGCGTACGCCTTTGCGCATACATCGTACACCGATTTCTTCCGTGAAAAATGTAAGATTTTTTTGTCAAAATAAATGTAAATGTAAATAAAATCTTAAGCAAATGGATACTAAACAAAGTGGTAATCGGCTGCACTCAAAAACTTTGTGAAATGCATTGTGCAAATGATAGTAACTTGTTGGTTTCGTTTGGCCACGCACAATGAGGTTAAAAACGGTGCTGGTTTTTTTTTTTTTTTTGTTTGTGTGCGTGTCTGTGTCTGTGTAACGAGCGCTTAGTGCCGTCTCCACACGTGTTTGCATTTAAATGCAGGAAATTTAAAATTGATTAATATATTGCGTCCACAACTAAAATCGTAGCAGTGAAACCAAGATTGTTACGGTATTCAACTGGACAATATTAGACGCTATAATATACTATTCCGCTTGAGGTTATCGCCTTGAAGATATTTACCTTAATAAAGTCAAAAATCAACACCAATTAAGTACAAATAATTTACTTAATGAGCGAATAATATTGTTTGGATTTTGGTTTGCATTGCAGCATGGCCGAAGTAGCTGAAAACGTTGTCGAGACTTTCGAGGAGCCGGCGCCATTGGAAACGGATGTCGCCGAAGCTGTGCTCGACACAAATGTTGTCGCCACCACGGAGCTGCCCGAAATCAAACTGTTCGGTCGCTGGTCTTGCGATGATGTGACCGTCAACGATATCTCGCTGCAGGATTACATCTCAGTGAAGGAGAAGTTCGCACGCTATCTGCCCCATTCGGCTGGTCGTTATGCCGCTAAGCGTTTCCGCAAGGCCCAGTGCCCCATTGTTGAGCGTCTGACCTGCTCTCTGATGATGAAGGGCCGCAACAACGGCAAGAAGCTCATGGCCTGCCGCATTGTCAAGCACTCTTTCGAGATCATCCACTTGCTCACTGGCGAGAACCCACTGCAGGTAAGCAGAGAGCCAAAGACAAATGATTTAATCCAAGCACCTATCGTGCCATGCTAAACTGAGCCATGCGAAAACTCTAACCACGCGGGCTACAGGTAGAATGCGCACGCAGACCAAAATGTTTCAATATCCTAGTGTCTGAAGCGCAACTCTTCTTACTCTCTTGGAACTTGAAACTACAAATGAAAACAAATCGAGTATTTTGGCTATATATATATATAGGGCTGTATTATTTAGTTCCTTTGAATGTCCAGCCATCTAATCGTGCTTTGTTTTTTCAACAGGAGACTTTTATATTCCAGATAATTAGACTCTCTATTTCTGTTCTTTTGCTACTTCATATTCATTCATCATACATTCATCTTAATCTGATATCTATCCGAGATTGGCTTATGTCCACAACTAAAACCGCATCAGTGACTCGCACGCTGCTGTGGTATTCAATTGGACTACATTGAACCCCATGGTTAACTATTCCTCTTAAGGGCATTGGCTAAAAGATGCATTCCTTAATAAAGTCAAAATCAACATTGCAAACTTGATATGAATGATAGATATGGGATGATAGCATATGTAGAGTATCACTGTCGTCTAGTCCAACTCTATGCTAGCTAGTTTATATGCCAAGCTGTGCTAAGCATCTAATTTAACTGGACTCATATTAGACTTAGACGTTTTAATATCCTAGTGCCCGAAGATTTGAAACCTCTTCTTGCTCTCTTGGAACTTAAATCGACATCCATACGCAAGGAGCTCAAATTCTGTTGAAAGTTAGTCCACCTCAATGCCAGGCAAGTATTATTTTCCACTGCACTGCGCATCTCAATTGGACTGATATTAAATATGAGGTTTTAATATCCTAGTGCTTGAAGATTAGACTCTCTTCCCGCTCTCTTGGAACTTAAAATCACATTTATCTGAATGTAATCTTCATTATCTATCAGAGATTGGCTTATGTCCACAACTAAAACCGCATCAGTGACCCACACGCTGGTGTGGTATTCAATTGGACTACATTGAACCCCATGGTTAACTATTCCTCTTAAGGGCATTGGCTAAAAGATGCATTCCTTAATAAAGTCAAAATCAACATTAGCAATTTACCTTATATACATCCATATAGAATACGCTTGCTGTAGTCCAACTCTATGCTAGTCGGCTTATAATCCATGCTGCTCTGAGCATAATCATTTGAATGGACTAATATTAAATAGAAGGTTTTAATATCCTAGTGCCTGAAGATTTGAAATCTCTTCTTGCTCTCTTGGAACTTAAAACTACAATAGAAATACCAATTTAGAGAAGTAATTTATAGTCTAAACTTTTTAATGTACATATATATTTATTTACATTTTGTTTGCAGATCTTGGTGAGCGCCATCATCAACTCGGGACCTCGTGAGGACTCCACACGTATTGGCCGTGCCGGTACCGTCCGTCGCCAGGCTGTGGATGTGTCGCCCTTGCGTCGTGTCAACCAGGTGGGTGCATTTCTTGGTTAACGTTTTGGCCAGCAACGATGGCGCGCAGTTCGAGCACAGAGATTGCGTTCTTATAACGTTGGCTATAATAAACATCTATCTATCCGTAGCGTCACAATGTGTAATTAACCGACATTTGGCGTATGAACCGAAGAGACATTTACTCAAGCTTTTATTTAATTGCGAATCTATTACTAACTGATTTTTATTCATTTTAGGCTATCTGGCTTCTGTGCACTGGTGCTCGTGAGGCTGCCTTCAGGAACATCAAGACCATTGCCGAGTGCTTGGCCGATGAGCTCATCAATGCCGCCAAGGTAAGCTATATAGCTATACCAGAGTATACATATGTATATATAGAAATAAGCTAACTATTGTGCAAGTAAGTAATATCGCCTCGCTTGTATACTGGACTGAGCTACTCGGGCAGTTGCTGCTCACTGAGGAGCAGTCGACAATCAATTATCTGCATAAATTCCGTCATACAATATACATATATAATATACATACATTATATATATATATATATATATATATATATATATACATTACGTCCAGTCTAATTCTGCATCAGGTCATTTGGATACTGTTGGAGACTCGCTTTTGGACAAGATCAATATTATGTCTCCTATTATCCTTGTGCTTGTAGCAACACCCAGCTCAATGCACACGAGAAACGTAGAAGAACAACTAATTAATCTAATGCAAACATAAATAACCGTATATATATACACTACGTCCAGTCTAATTCTGCATCAGGTCATTTGGATACTGTTGGAGACTCGCTTTTGGACAAGATCAATATTATGTCTCCTATTATCCTTGTGCTTGTAGCAACACCCAGCTCAATGCACAGGAGAAACGTAGAAGAACAACTAATTAATGTAATGCAAACATAAATAACCGTATATATATACACTACGTCCAGTCTAATTCTGCATCAGGTCATTTGGATACTGTTGGAGACTCGCTTTTGGACAAGATCAATATTATGTCTCCTATTATCCTTGTGCTTGTGGCAACACCCAGCTCAATGCACACGAGAAACGTAGAAGAACAACTTGTTAAGCTAATGTCTAAGAACTCTATGCGTAATATTTATTATATTATCTAAACTAATCTATTTTGTTGTTTCGATTACAGGGTTCATCCAACTCGTACGCCATCAAGAAGAAAGATGAATTGGAGCGTGTTGCCAAGTCTAACCGTTAAGGAAAAACAACAACACACACATATACAAATAACAAATACCGTTTGTTTAATGTTCGATTAAAACTTGATACTTTACGTTTGATGTAAATTTGTATGTAAACACAGAAGCGTTTTGATCAACTTTAAGCGTGCATTGAATAAACAGGTGGGGTGGCCAGGAGCTAAAGATACACATGAATTCTTCATTAAATAAATCTGTGTAAAAATAATAATAGGACACAATGCTTTTTTTTTAATAGCTATAGAGTTTATCAGTATAAATAAATTTTAATTAATTTTATACGTACATCAACACAAATATGTCGCAAGCTGAAAGGGAGCCGTTTTTTACGTTCGCCGGTTGCAGCGATTTGTGCTTGGTGCCAAAGCAGTTGGTCACATCAAATATGCGATGTTCGATAACGATATCGATCACACTTGAAAGCTGTCTGTACAGCCCTGGAAAATGGCAGCTTTACAAGGTTGCCAGATCTCGCTGTCATATTGCAAATTTGAATCTGTGCAAATGACGAGGCGCTGGGTTAGATAAAATGTTCAATGTGAATACGATAATTCAAACTCAACAAACTGCACCGGGCACAAGTACACTTAATAATACTGCAAGCGAAAATAGCTCGAGCGAACGCCATAGTCAGTAAGTATGGCTGAGTTTATGGTTACAAATAGGATTGCTAATCCAACCACATGAATAGATTCCACGACCAGACATTAGTGCAACAATTTTGTCGTGCAACGCACCTAGGAAAATTGATTGAAGGCACTGTGAACAGCTTCTTGTGCAACTATAGGCGCACGCGCAAGCCTGAGGAGGCACTGGCGCCGATTGTGCTGCGCCTGGACTTCCAATACACTGAGCTAGTGAGTCACGCACCGCAGCTGCTGCACCTGGCCGTCGAAGAGCCTCTGCAGTTTGCCGAGGCGGTCAAGTACTCGGTGTACGGACAGGTGCGCGACTTGCTCAAATCAAACGCGAACTCTAACGAAAATTCCCTCAAGGCAATCGATATCGCTCAGCTGCACACGCAGTGGCGTCTGCTGGGCTTGCCACTACAGCCGAATCTAGTGTTTGATCCTTCCCAGTGGCTGTACCCGCTGGGCTTGGCCCTGGTGGACGGCATCTTGTCCGCATATACACTGCCGGAGATATTGGTGTAAGTAAAGGATTTATAGCCATATATATTTATAACACTTGGCTATTGGATTGGAATTTGCTAGATCTTAATTGATATATATTTTTATTGCTTGTTCCTGTATTTCGCTGAAACAAAAAAAAATCTAGACTGCAATCGATTTGGTACTGCGCCAGTGGTTGTATGAGGAATGCCATTCAAACCAGCTCCACGGACGGTGAGTAAACGAATTCGGTAGCTACAATATCCGTCGTCGTCCAGATGTTAATCAAAGTAGGCTTTTACTGTGTGTGAAACGACACGATATATACATATGTATGTATGTATGTACATGTCAAACTTTTTTAGGCATTCAGTCTCTTTACGTCTCTCATTTATTTAAGATCACCTCTAGTTTATTCTACGATTGTAAATTTTAAATATATTTTATTTATTTTCCCATTTCGTACATCCAGCGCCGTTGTGCCCAAACTGCTCGCGTCCTATGAGTGAATACCAAAAGCTGCGCGTAACTGAAAATTACCGTTTGCTAGCCATCCTACCGAGCGCCTGTGCGCAGACTCCTCGAACTGTGAATCGCATTTACCGGCCAATTCTTGTGCGTTCGCGTGGTAAGCATAGCCAGGGGCATAGCTATTGAAGATGCCTTCACTATAATAAAGATGCCTTCACTGATCTCTCCTGCCAGCTCATACGTACGATTGTGATTTGAAGTTGGGCGCCAATTACCTGGTCACGGGCTACTACTGCGGCACAGCTAGCACTTATCAGTTCGAGGCATGCCATCTAAAAAGAGCTTGACTCGTCATCAGCCAGTGCAGCTGATTGACTTCTTGCGCGCCGACGTCGATCAGCCAATCCCTACGCAACCATCAAGCTTCGCATCTGCTCTGTTAGTTATTTATTGCATTTATAGTTGCATTGCATCACTGTTCATTCGTGGCTTCTCTCCCTCTCTCTCTCTCTAGCTCAAATGTCAGTCCCGTCATTAGCTTTTATAAAAGCTCACAAAGCACATCATCCGGTGATCCGCAGCGTGCTAGGATTAGCAAGGCGACCGGCAATCAAAATGTTAACTTTGTTCCAAATGATGAGGAGTTCCCGGCTGTGGGCGCCGTGCGCAGAAAGCCAAAGCCAAAGCCAGTTCGGGCTCCGTTCGTTGCGCCAGCAGAGTCGCGCCCAGCCCTACAGCCAGTGGCTCCGGCCCAGGCCACTAGCCAGCGCATTTCCGGCGGCTTTCAAGTGCGCCAGTCGTCGTCAGGCAACTCGCTCGACAAGCAACAGGTGGTTAACAAATGGCTCAAGTCTGTGCAGCAGCCTTTCGTGCGATCGCAGCAATTGCAAACACCATTTCGCACCTCCGGCTATACGCAGTCGGGCTGCAAGAGCGTACCGGCAGCTGCCCCACAGGAGCAGTCGCCAGCCAATAAAGTGAATAAGGCGCCAGAGCCTGTGGCCAGCCCCAAGCGTCCAACCGTTGCGCAGCCCAAACAAAAATCATCAGTTATACAATTGGAGTCATGCCCCTCAAATGCGTCTGTTTCCATGCCGGTGGGCAAGGTGGTGCCCAGCGCTCCAGACATCCGCTCCATGTCTGGCGATAGCGACAGAACTCTAGTGCCGATCAACGAGGCACAAAGTGCACAGCCAACGAGTCGCCAAATGCGCCGCAAGGAGCGACGCATGCGACGCGAGCAAGGAGCGTCAGCTCAGAGCTCAAGTCGCGAGCATCCGGGCCTGCCGGCACAACTGCCCGAGGAGCTGGTGGCGCAACAGCCCGAGGAGCTAATGGCACAACAGCCCGAGGAGCAAGTGGCGCAACAGCCCGAGGAGCTGGTGACGCCGCCCAGTCCCAGCACACACAGCGCGCCAGTTGACGATGATGTGTCCTTTATGCAGGAGCTGCAGCAGGCGCTGGCCAACAACTCAATGCCAGCGGAATCCCAATTGCCGCTGGAAAGCATCGCAGCACACAGCACACTGAATTGGAACGCCAATGAATTTCGTCCCAATCCAAGCCCAGTGGTCATCAAGAACTCAAGGATTAGCGTAAGCAAATAGTCATAGGTTTCATTTCCATGATTCTCGTTACATTTTCGAAACTTACAGGAGCGTCGTCGTCGTCAGCGCTTCCATCGCACACTCAAGCCCAATGCACTGTTCGAGCTGGTCTCGCTGCCATCCGAGTTTCAGTCAGGGTCCCAGACAGAGCCGCCATTGCAATCACAATTAACTGGCAGTAGCCAGGCACCGAGAGCCACGTATAATCTGTCCTCCAGCTACTCAGAGGCAAGCAGCGCTCCAGCGATTGCCGCAGGCTCGAGAGTCCAACCGCTGCCGCCAATACAGCACAGCTGTAGCACTGACAACCAGTCGGTTTTTCGGCTCAGCAGCCTCCCCAGCACGGGTATCGGGACGGGCGGCATCAGCAGCCGCAGCAGCCGCAGCAGCAGCAGCAGAAGCGCCGACACCATCAGCAGCACTTTGGTGACAACCGTAGACGACCCCAACGACGCTTCTGATAATATGCTGCACAGCCGTCCGCTCTTGGACATGGATCCGGCATCTCCGCAAACGGAGGCGTTTCTCTTCCTCGAGCCAACTAATATTGACTTGAGCGCTAAGCTGGCTGCCGATAGGGCGACGGCCGAGAGGAACCGCGGACCACGTCACCTGATATTTGTGAAATGTGACAGTCCACGGCGTCGCAATATCGAGGTCGATTTGAATTTCATGCCACCGAGCATCAAGAAGCTGTATAGCCTAATCTGCGCCAAATACTCGGACTATGCCTTTGTCTATGCGCTGAGTGCGCAGCTGTCCCAGGAGTTTGTGCCCATGGAGTGCTATGTGTACCTGAAAATGGCGCTACTGAGTAGCCTGGCCAGCCTGGAGCTGGACGAGATGCGTGCGCCCATTTCACTGTGCGTGATATGTAACGACAGCTATATGGCCAATCTGCTGCTGCACCAAGTCGGGCAACTGGCGCCCCGTTTCATTGGGCCGCACGAGGGCTGCCAAGAGCCAGTGCAGCATTCAGCCCTGTCGTCGCGCCACAAATGGGTGATGGCCAGCCCATTGCTGTTGGCCCAGCAGGGCGTGTACTATGCCGGTGACTGGAATCGCTTGACGCGCGCTCAAAGCGAGGAGCTGGAGAAGTGCATTGAGAACGGCAGCGTGCCGGTGCCGCAGCTGCAGAGCGAGCAGCCGCTCGAAGCGGCCATATGGACGTATTGGCAGCCGGAGAATGCAGCCAACCAATCGACAGCGTTTGCCAAGCTTTGTCCGTGAGTAACTGAATATAATATCAAAAAAGATATATTTATCTAAATTCCTTTGCAGCATCTTTGGCCTGCCCGTGCACATGGGGGAGCTGGAGAACAATACGCTGTGGGACTTTGTGCTGAGCCAGCACCAAAGCGATATGCCAGAGGAAATACATGATGCATTTAATATACCCAAAGATGATATAAGAACAATGCTCACCTTTCTCCATCAGCGTCAGGTTACTTTCACCGTGGAGGCGGAGCTATTGCTACAAAAATACTATGTTGTCTCTCGCATCGAGCAGCCGAGTGAGCGCATCTTCCATTTCATTTCAATTCATGTTACTCATGCCCTCCCTCTCTCCCTCACTGTCTCTTTTACTCTTGCAGCTGCCTTCAGCAGCAAGACTTATATTGTGCTAAAGCAATTTGCTGAATCGATTGCCAAGCTGTCCATGCGACTGGATGTACTCGAAGCCGACGTGGCCGTTGCCATCTTCCACTCTGAGAACTTTGTGCGCAGCATCTTTGGCGCCGGCGATTTTCCGCCACCTGCCGTTGTCAACTTGAACGTAATCTCTCGCGTGGATCCGTACATGAATGAGTTTGCGCGCTGGCTATATCAATATCTGGATCGCTACGAGGACAATGTGGACGACGACGACAGAGCACAGCCGAAGCGTCAACGTCTTGATATCCCCTAGGAATATAAAAAGTAAACGAATGCTGCACAGCCGATACTTATACTTAAGCTCTTATGTATATATGTAGTATGTATATATATATATGTATATGTATGTATATATCAATTAGCCAATAAACAAACAATGATATCTGTGCAGTATTTAGAGCGGTTTAAGAACTTCATCTTTGATTATCCAGCTTATACCGAGAGTGAATAATGATATAATCTATATAACTGTTATCAAGTTATCTATTGTTAATTACGTTATATCAATAAAATGAAAAGGTTATTTCAATTATCCATTTAAAAACAATTCTTTATTTGCTATCTTTGCCGTAGCGACTTACATTTGCATAATTATTTTAAATATTTGTAAGTTTCATTTGATTACGTTAATAGTTTTTGATTATCGTTTTATCAGTTTGCCTGAGCACAAATTCTTGCATTGGCATTGGCTTTTATCTCAGGAAGGACCATACTTTTTGTTGCAATCCATTCTCGATTTCAGTTTTATAAAAAAATACAAATATTTATTGTAGCATACAGTTAAGTGTTCACATTGAAACTTCAATAGTAATTACATAGATAGTCAGATAGATTCATTTGTAGTATGTATAAAAAAAAAAATAGATATATTGTATATAAGTAGTTGATGAAATGGTTGCGTTATATGCGTTGGGCTGTCTGTCTGTATAAATATATATATATATATATATATATATATATATATATATATATATATATATATATATTATATGCATGTGTATGATATATGTATATAAATATAATGCTTAGTTCACTAAAATTATGACAAATTAAAAGCATACAAAATACATTCTTCACTTTGGTCCAGTACTGAAATCTCGGATTTCGTTAGTTTCCAAAATAGTTCTTAGTTTCTTGGTATATTTAGTTTAAGTGTTTTTAGTAATAGTTTCTCTTTATACATACATGATTTATGTAAGCTAACCTAACGACTATATTTAACTGTCTTACGTATCTACAAGTTTACAATTTAGTTGAGCTAAAACCGTTTCAGTATGTGTACACTGTCCCACTGGCTGGTTTCCTTCTCCACTTTGTGTGTGTGTGTGTGTGTGTGTGTGGGTGGGTTTGTTGTTTCTCTATCAATAGTCCAGATTTCCCTGTGCGCCCGTTATGATGGCATCGATCCAGATGCGCGCCGCTGCATCGGAAGCCGCCTGCAGATTATAGCTACGCTTCTTCGTCTTCACAATGAATGTGCAATGGGGTCGGCCGCTCTTCGAGGCATTCAAATGATCCAAATAGACCTCGTCAATGGTCTGCAGAGAGACAGAAACAAGAGTTGAGAATTATGCATTAATTAAATAGTTATAGATATAGTTGACTTACGGCAAAGTAGGCACCGCCTCGTGGCTTCCGCTCCGACTTGTCCGAGTAGTAGATGAGCGCGCTGCGCTGTCTATCCAGCACAAACCAGCGACGGGACCAGGCATGGAACGTGGCGCCCAATTTGTGCAGGTAACTGAATGAAGCATAAATGTGATATATATTATATATATATATTTATATACATCTTTGCAGATCTTTGTCACTTACCCGCGACAGCTGTGCGCATCGACAAACACATGCGGACAGAGATCGATCTGATGGCCGGCCGTCTCGATGTGATGCCGCAGATTCAGATCCGGCGAGAAGATGGGCAGGTAGCGTGTCAGTGGCCGCTGATGCTTGGGCAGCATGCGTTTACGTTCGCCGCCATTGGCGCTGGCGCTGCTGCTGCCGGTGCCGGCGCCGCTGCTGCTGCCACTGCCGCTGCCGCTGCCCGCCGACGCGGTGTCCTGTGAGTTGCTGTTGCTGCTGGCGCGCTTATTGTTATCCGTCACGCCCACATCGCCGTTGGCAGCGAACTTGGGCGTCTCAATGGCCGCCTCACAGTTGTTCGCCTCCGACAGCGGCCGCGGACTGCGCGCCACTGTGCCGTGAGCAGAGCCAACCGCCACGATTCCATGATGCTCCAGTTCCGGCTGCGAGTGACGTTGCTGTGGACACAAAATGCGAACGCAATTAATTCACAGTGCGGCGAGCGTTGTAAGTGGGCTAAACTCTATAAATAGCAAAACAGCCAAGCAACGGCCGCCAATCTCCCTCCTCCATCCCTCTCCCTCTCTCTCTCTCTCTCTCTCTCTCTCTCTCATTTGCTTTCTATGTCAAAGACAAAGCTGCGCATTCCGCTGGCCACTGGCCAATGGACCAATCCGCTTAACCCCTAAATGGGTCTAGGTGTTGGAAATTATGAGCCAATGTAATCGTTAGCTGATTTCTTGACTCAAATGCAGGGAAGAAGAGAGGGAGGCTGCTAGAGTTGCCCTTGCATAAGATTTATGGCATCTTTATGGATATACATAATATATCTTGGACTATATGAATCATAAACAACTTGTCTACATAGAGAGCGATTGATGAACTATTCGATTGATTTGAGTAAACTATAACTCAAGAGCGAGAGACAGGGAGAGGAAGAGAGTGGTAGGAAGGGACGGGAGAGAGAGAAAGAGAGAGACAGGTCAAATTAAGTCAAGGACAATTAGTTATATATATGCATGTATATGCTTAAACATAAACATATATCAGCCAGCATACACACATACATACATACATACATATATACATATAGATTTTTAGCACTTGAAAAAAATATAAACATTTAATAATTTATTTACATTTATTTAGTAAACCCAAATGTTTCAACTAATTGATAATTAGTGCAGAGGCTAAAACAATTCGAGCTCGTAAATAGTTTTTGTTTATACTAATACATATATGCATATGATATATGTATATATCACATATAACAATTTATAGCTGCTCATTGAATGTGAGCTTAAGTAAAAGGAGATGGTCTGAAAACTAGTTAAAACTAGCCGAAAATTAGCCAAAAGCAGCCAAAAATAGCCAGCAATGTATCAAATATGATTTTAAAAATATTATTGAAAAGAATTTTTTTTTTTTTTTTTTTAATAATTACATGACTGAGATGCAACTATTACATTAAGATTCTCTATCTCTCTCTCTCTCTCTGTCATAGTGAAACCCCTTAAATGTCTTAGGTATTTCAGCTCTTGAAGCTATACAGTAAATCCTGCCTAATGTGAGACACATGCAACATAGTGTTACAAAAAATATTTTATAATTTTATAAAATGTGATATATTATTATTTTCCTTACTAATTTGTTGTATTCATTTATTTTTAACTTTTAATAATATTAAACAAAATGATAAAAAATAATAATAGCAAAAAATACAAAAATATGCAAAAGCCCATTTTTTGTTTATTAATTAAAATTAATTGTTTAAAATTAAATAAAATGCAAAATTGGTAAAATGATTTTTTTATTATTATTTTATTATTATTATTATTATTATTATTATTATTATTATTATTTTTATTTTATATTATTAATATTAATTTTTTTTACAACAATTAAAATAGCAAAAAATTAGAGCGACTATTGCAACTAGCCTAAAAATGAGTCTGGATACTTGGAATGGAAGCTATACATAAGTGATTCCATATTAATAATATTAATTATAATATAATAATCATATTGGAAAAGTTTAATTAAAGAGAAATCTGATAAAAGTGATTTCTTTATATGGAAAAATGCAAATGCATGATAATAAGTCACATATCAAATTAGATAGTTGAGTTAAGACACACACACAAACACAGCTAAACAGCCACATCTACACACACACACACACTCACTCACTAGATAATAGAGTTCGGTGCGCTGCCTGGCATTCGCATCCATGCGACGATGCTGGACATAGGTCATCCAGACGGACATGTTTGACAATCCTTTGATCTGGCTATTATGATGTCGGTTAATTGGTTTTTTCGTATTATTGAGGAATTTCTTGAACGAGCTCTGCGACCGACTGAACCGAACCGTGCGTAACGAACCGTTTGCGAATGCGAAATACCGAGACCACAAGAAACAAAACAGAAACAAATCACACGAATTGAAGAAATGAAAACAAACGTGAATCTATGGCCCCAAATGAAACGAGGCGCACACGGACATTGTCCAGTCGAGGCGCTGGATCGCTGGATGAGAGAGTTGTCGAATCGGCCGATTATAATGGTTAGCGTAATGGGCCAGCGCAATTTATGGGGGCTATTGGGGCTGTACGAAGATGCTGGCAATGATCATCGTTGGTACTAGAACCGAAACATGTAAACAACATTTGCGATCAAGGTAAACAACAACAACAACAACAATCGCAATAACAACTATCACTAAGTAGTGCGCATAATGAGCAACGGACTAAAACTGAAGACCGCAAACGAAATTCGCTGGCGGCGCGTATGAAAAGAGCCAAATATTATTATAGACTTATTAATAAAGTGTGTAGTCCATATAGAAAGGAACAGAGCGATACGAAACGGAACGGTACGGAATGGAACAGAACATTTGGGTAAATCAGCGGACTGCGGGGGCGGTACGATTCTAAAATAAACATTGCTAAAAAGAAATGAGGAAAAAAAAATAGACTTATATTTATATATATCTAAAATAGCAAACAAATTGTCGAGGCACTGAATAACTGAATAAAACTCGTGACTAACGACCTGACGATCGATGGGCTGAGAGGCTGTCATCGTGCTGGCGTTACGATCCAAAATCAGAGAGAGAGTAGAGAGTAAAGAGTAGAGAGTTGAGAGTAGAGAGAGTATAGAGTATACAGTAAAGAGTAAAGAGTATAGAGTATAGAGTATAGAGTATAGAGTATAGAGTATAGAGTATAGAGTATAGAGTATAGAGTATAGAGTATAGAGTATAGAGTATAGAGTATAGAGTATAGAGTATAGAGTATAGAGTATAGAGTATAGAGTATAGAGTATAGAGTATAGAGTATAGAGTATATAAATAGAGGGTGAGCATCGGAAGAGAGAAATCATATAAACCCAAATTGTACATATAAAAAGTCAAAGTAACTCCTAAAGAGAAGAGAGAGAGAGCGAAAAAGAGAGAGGAGGGGTTCAAGGGGTTCTTAAAGCGGTAAACCGAGAGCGAGAGAAATGAATGAGAAAGGAACACAAATACACAATGAGACATAATCGTAAAGAGAGTACAAATGAATTAAGTCAAAGTATAGATGATTGAAATGGATCAAATTTAAGCTTCTTCCTCTCACTAGAAATATAGTATAAAGAGACCGGAAGAAGGAAATAAAACGTAATCTAAGTAATTGCTTAGATTACTAAAAGTATGTGAAATATTACGATTTGGACTATTTCCTTGAGGGATCTTGAAATAAAAATTTCTAGATTCAGACCATAACAAGTGAACAAAAGGTAAATAACCTTTATCTCTGCAACTTATTTACTCGAATTTCGTATAAATATATTTATATATAAATATATGTATGTGTATATATTAGATAGTAGTTTATTATATTTATCTATAATATATGTTTCATATAATATATTTTATTATATGATATCTATCATATATGTAGGCATTACCTAATAGGGCTCTATTTGCTTTGCATTTATCTTAGCGTGAATTCCTAACAGTTTTTACTGTTGACGCGCGTGAGTCTTACGATTCTTATCGTTGGTAAAATGTTGAGTCCATTGCGAGACTAGAAAATACCTCTTGAGCTATATGTGATATGATATGATATATCTGCATATATGATATCATAATGTATTCATTTTCTACTCCATTATTGGCATATCAATCAAACTACAGGGCATTCGGCTGCATAACGGGTATTACAGCAATGACCGTTTCATAACCGATACCCGATACCCGATAACCGCTTGAATACAATTCGAAATTCACAATTCAAGTTTTCATACCAGCCAAGGGAATGCTGTTGACTGTTTTCTTTATGGCCGATTCGTGTTTACACACTCGACCAGTTTACTTAAGTTACGACGTGGTATTTGGACAATAAATATGTCTCGCCCCCAACTGGCCATGTTTTGCCCCTCGCCCTACCCTCCTGTCTCTTGCCTCGGCAAGGTACAGCAATTATATTGGCAAGAGATTAAGCAGAGATTGCGAGGCCGAGAAACCATCGAAGAGGACCACACAAATCAGTTGATTGAACGTGGGCTTCGAGGGGGTCTTGGAGCAATTGTATTTACAAAACATTACACAGTTGTGCGTGTGTGTGTGTGTGTGTGTGTGTGGGCGCCCAAATGAGTTGACCTTCATAGGTATCAGCAGGGGGAGAGGGGGGTGTGGTTGGGACATAGACAGACATGAACTGCAGACTTTAGTTTGGCTTTCATTTGCTTTGCTTTGTTGGCCTAGGTTAACTTTCTTGGCAACTCACCTGTTGATTTGCTGTTGTTGTTGTCCCCGTTATTGCTGCTGCTGTCGTCGTTGTTGTTGTTGTTGTTGTTGATTTTGTACTAGCAGCGCTGCCATCACCTGACGCATTATTCTCTTTATCGTGTTGTGTCTTTTGCTGTTGTTGTTGTTGTTGCGCGGTTTCATCGTTGAGCTTTTGTAGTTCGACTTTGTCAAACAGTTTGGCATCTTTGCCGCCGCTGCAAGTAGAAGAAGAAGAAGAGGAAGAGGAAGAAGAAGAGCAAGAGTTGCAATATTAGTCAAATTGAATGAATTCCACTTTCGTTTCATCGTGTTAAATTGAATGTGCCGTCGTACCAGCATGGAATCAGCGCATTTAGCTTATCCATTTCGATGACTAATGCAGCCTGCGACGACGACGACGACGACGACGACGGCGACGGCGACGCGCTGCGTTTGACTCACTAAGCAACAGGCGCGTCGAATCTGCTATAGGAATCAGTATCGGAATCGGAATCGGAATCGAGTGCGGTATGGATGAGGCCGGCGGTCACAATGCACAAATGCGACGTCTGGCAAATAAATGAACGCGCTCTCTGAACAGTCGTCACACAGACACACTTGACTTTGTGTGAGCCAATAGATAGATAGAGAAACAGAGAGAGAGAGAGAGATAGAGAGTGTGTGAGAGTGAGAGAGAGAGGGAGGCAGCAAAAGCAGCTGGCGCAAACAAGCAGTTGATAAGCTTATCAGCAGCAGCAGCAGCAGAAGCAGCGAGAACAGCGACGTCGGCAGAGCGACCTCCTTGGCAGCGTTGATAATTGCAGCACGCTTCAATTTCAGGTGTTGTCGCCCAACTAACCAACTAACCAACTAACTAACTAGCTAACAAACTGACTGACTGACTGACTGGCTGACTCACTGACTGACTGACTGACCAGACCGACTGAGCGACCAAGCGATCTTCGAATAAACTCGAGAGCGACAATCGGCATCGAATTCGATAATGGGTGTCGTGTGTTGTCGTCAATGAGTAAACCAAGAGCCACACTAAACAACACGGACAACAAAAATATGATACAGTTGTCATCTCTCTCTCTTTCTCTCTTTCTCTCTCTCTCTCTCTCTCCAACTCTAACTCTCTTTGTTTCTCCAACAATTTGAAAATCGACACGTAATTTTAAAACTAAAAACCGGTTTTATTTTCGATCTTAAACACAATTAGCCGCAGTTAACGTAGCAGCCGACGTCGCCGTCGCCGTCGCCGTCGCCGTCGTCATCGTAGACTTCGGCGTCCGTCGCATTGTTTTGCTATTAGCAAATAATTTGATTAATTATAGAGTCAGCGGGTTGAGTGTGTGCACGCCACCCAAAAGGCATTTACACTGCACAACACAACAAGGCAAAGCCCAATTCGATAGAACATATTTTGTTAACAGTTTGAAAGATATTCAATATATCAATATTAGTATAATTATATATATATATATATAATATATATAATAAAAATTAAATATAAATGTAATGAAAAAAAAATGCAAAATCAATATATTTAACAAAGATTTATTTCTATATTATATATAATACAGAAACAATTATTTGTTAAATATTTAATTTTTTTTCACTTAAAATTTTTTATATTAAAAATAATATTGAAGTATAATATAATATTTTCATTTCATTCACTTTATATTGCAAATGAAATTTACAATATTATATTTAATTTTCTGTATTTTAAATATTGTATTTCATATTTTATTTTGATGCTTTATAATTTATGTTTATTATTGATTATTTTTAATTTTTAATATACAATCGTTTATGTTTTTATTAATTTTTTTTATTATTTTATTTTTTTTATTATTATTATTTTATTTCTTATATTTTATTATTTATTTTATTATTTAGTAAATTTAAATGATTTTTATTATTTATTTTAATTTTGCATTTTTAGTTTAAAAATTGATTTTGTTTTAATGTTTTACACATTATATTTAATATTATATAATTTATTTTTTGTATACATATATAAATATATTTATTAATTTTTTTTTTTCATTTATTTCATTTATTTATTTATTTATTTATTTTTTTCATTTATTCAATTTATTTATATATAATAATCTAGATTATATTTTTATATTAATATATGTATATTTAAAATATTATATTTATATTTTCTATATTATTAATTTTATATTAAATATTTTTAATTTTATATTTCATTATTAGTAAGCAACGCGCATCACAGTTAAATGCGAATTGCAAAAATCTTGCGGTGTTTGTAGCACAGTGTAAGGGTGGCTGCATCGCAGCTTGTGTCAGCCGCACAATTAATTAAGATAGGGTCAAGCATGTGGAACGAAGAGGGCGCCACTCTGGGGGCTAGGCAACGCGAACCGAACCGAACCTAACCGAACCGAACCGAACTGAGCTGAGTTCAGTTGCAGTTCAGCCGCGTTGATTCAATTAGAGCAAGCAAACGGAAGGACGGGAAGGGCGCTGTGGTGGGGATGGGGATGGGGCGTGGCGTGGCAAACTTTGTGGTGGTAATGAAACATTCACTCACTTGGCGTTCATTGGAGCGTGCTTGGGTGGTGGTCGCGGTGGTTCAATCGCTGGCTCTGTTGTCTGCTGCATGGAGAGCAAATATTGTGTGCGTGCCTCGTCGTGGCTCTTCTTCTTCAGATCGTACATCTTCTGGCGCTCGTGCTCAATGACCTGGTGACCTATATGTATATATGTGATACAGAGTTGAGAAATTCAATTTGGAATCTATCTAAGAGCATCTCTTGCCTTGCTGGGCCAGCAGCAGCTTGCGATTCCGTTCGATTTCTTTGATGCTGTCGAAGATCTTGGTGCTGGCTCCTTGGCTGGTCGAAATAGGCGCATCGTTGGCCACCTTGCAGCTGCGATCGATGTCATCCTGCGAGGGCACCCGTCGCTCCAGCGGATTCACTTCGAATCGATCGCTGCGCAGCGATAAATTGAAGCTGATCTGTTCACAGCTGCCGGCATCGTAGATCTGCAACGGTGCTCGCTTCGGTGTGCTGGTCACCTGGCCACCGAGCGGCAGTTCGATCTTGTTGTTGCTGTGGAACATGTTCTCGTTGACGCTCTTGGACATCAGATCCTCCTGATTGTGCCGCTTGGGGCACAACAGCTCAGCGGAACCGAACAGTGACTGGGACATGACGCCGTTGGCCAGATTGCTGCCGCCATTGGTGGCAGCGGGCGTGCTGCGTCCACTTGTGGATGATATGACCTGTGCCTGTGACTCCTCCTCGTCGGGCTCGTCGCGTCCCAGCTGTATGTGCAACGATGCCAGTTCCGTTTCCAAGACAAGACGCTGCTCCTGCCGCTTCAGCTCCTCGTGGCAGGCATGATGCTCCGACTCCTCCTCGAAATATTGAAACTCCAGATCCTCGAATGCCTTGCGATCACTATCCAGCGACTCGCACACATGCTCCAGCTCCTCCTTCAGGCAGGCATTGTTCGGCTTCTGCTTCAGCATCGCGCGCAGCCTGAAAGATCGTAATAATAACGATTAGATATTTGAGCTTTCTTAATTCCGGAAAGAGACTTTAATTAAACAGAAATGATTGACAGCTGAAATTTCCGTTTTCTACTGAGAAAATCAACTGAAACATATTTCAAGGCAGTTCTATGAAGTAATACAAGTAATTCTCACATCGATCAGTAGAACTGTCACTCAATGAAAACTAAGTTTAAAGACAATTGAATGTTGGACTTAGAACTTACACTACTTCCTAGTCAAATATCTCTCATATGTCTTTAATCTCTACGGGTCAATAATACTTGGCCTGTTTTCATGATAAAGTCTCAAGTTTTGATACGGTTTCATTTTCCCAAGAATATCTTATTCATCGGAAAAATTGTGTAAACACAAACATCTGATAAAGGGTATCTTCACGTCGATGATAGTGAATCACACCTCAACAATTATTTTTATTTTTTTTTTTTTTTATGTATATCTACCCTATAAAGCTGTATGTTAACTTGCATATTTGTAGCCTAGAGAGAACTATAAACTTTTACGATCTGCTTTTTATTTTTTATGAATAAGCACGAAGTTTAAGAGCCTATGAATCAGTTCAGTTCAGTTCGACAATCGGAGTTAAATTAGGTAAATTTGGTATGCAAATGAAATATTTCTTAGTGGGATATTTGCTATTCTGTTTAAGATCAAGATCTGTATGAGCTTTGACTGACATATTTTGTGACCCGTTTTACTTTTTTCTAATTTGCCAACATAAAAACAGTTATTTACGAATATTTTGTCATAGTGTTATCATTTAGAGGGTATCATCTTAACTGGTCTACTTATTCATGTTATGTATTTAAAAAAGGGTATTTCCATAAACGAATGGAACTAATGCATTCAGCCGAGGTATTTCAATATACAGGGTATCTTATTAACAGATTCATTTGTGATTGATGTAATTATGATCGTAACATTCGGCTGGAGTACTTTGATTTGGGGGGTATTCCATTACATGAGTATAACCTCTGTTTTCTACTAAAAAATTCGCATTTACAGGGTATCTTTGTACCAGACCTACGTATTTAACATTCGTATTTAACATTACAGGGTATTGTTCTAATTGAATTAAATCAAAACATTCAATTTACAGGGTATCTTCTCCACTGAACTACACATACAACTAAGATTGATTTACAGGGTATATTCTATAACTATACAATCAACACGCTTTCATCTGATGCATTTGGTTTTACAGAGTATCTCCTACACATGGCTACCCTCTCAGCTGTATTTGCATATACAGGGTATATCCCAATATCCTCATATTCTTACTTATTCAACTGATCCTGTTTCATTTCAATGGACTGCTTCAGCTTGGCCTGCTGATTCTCCTCCATCACGCGCGTCGCATTGCGCTGCGCCTCCAGGCGATGGATCCGATTCTGCAGGGCCAAAAGCTGCTGGCGAGGCGTCGACGCCGGCTGCGCTGCGGACGTTGCCTGCGGCTGAGGTTGCTGCTGCTGCTGCTGCTGCTGCTGTTCAGCTGACGCCGACTGCAAGCAAAATTTGAGAATTTAGTTATGTTTATAGGGTATATATGTGCTGTAGATACCTCGTGATTGCTGCTGGCATCCGGCAGTTCGCCCAGCTCCCGATTGAGCTGGTTGTGCCGCTGATCCAACTCGCGCCGCTTCCGCTGCTCCACGTTGATGCTGCGCGGCGCTGGCGCTGGCTTGCGGCTGGGCTTTGGCGATTGGCTGGCGGATTCGTTCAGATTGAGCGTTAGATTGTTGATATTCTTGTTGGAGCGCTTGGCAGGATGTTGTTGTTGTTGTTGCTGCTGCTGCTGCATCTGCTGCTGCTGTTGCTGCATCTGCTGCTGCTGCTGCTCGATCTGCTGCTTGCGCTCAAACGACTTGAAGAGCTGCTCATAGTCCCGTTGCTGATTGGGCGCCGGCGGCTTGGGTGCCAACGGCGGCTTCACCAACGCCGGCACCGGCGTCGGCGTGGAGCTGGCCAGCGCAAAGGCGCTGCTAAAGGATGCATCCTTCTTGGGCGACATGCAATTGGTGCGTATTTTGGTGCGTGGACTCTGTGGCACGTACTTGGTTGTGCCGCCGGCCAAGTGATTCTCCGACGCTGAGGCAGCGCCTCCAGTTCCAGCTGCTCCGGCTCCGCCACCAGCTGCTGCTCCTCCTCCTCCTCCTGCTGCAGGCACATGCAGCTGTCCATTGATCTCGACACGATTGGGACCCAGCATACGGACATTCTCATAGCCAGACGTGCTGCTAATCAGCGCCAAGTTGGAGCTGCTGCCCGCATGCTGAAACGTTGGCTTCTTGTCCCGCGGCAGTGATCCGTTCGTCTTGATCCTGTTCTGGACAATGGGCGAGGAGGTGATACTGCCAGCGCTGGCATTGTGCAGCGCATGGCTGCTGCCGCTGTTGTTGGCGCTGTGCTGCAGCTGCTGCTGCTGCCGATCCGCGTACTCGGTGCAGATCTTCAGCATATCCTCCAGCTCGGCGCCGCTGTTCAGCTCCGTATTGATGCCGTTCATGGCAAATATTTGCAGGCCGCCGGCGGTGTAGGTGCCCGGCTTGGGATATCGATCATATCGATCGTTGTTCACCTTGCCCAGCAGCTCAGACTGTCCCAGTTGTTGCTGTTGCTGTCCCTGTTGTTGTTGTTGCTGCTGCTGCTGCTGCTGCTTGAAGACCGCCGCATTGCTGGGTATATTGCAGTAGCCGGCATTATGGCCAATTCCATTGGCGCCGCTGCTATTTAGGGATTTGGCATATTGATTGTTCAGCTGCTTCTCGCCGCGATGATTCTCGGCCAGATTGCGGGCAAAGCTCGCGTACTTCTGGCCAAGCACATCGCGTGCGGCCATATTCACAGTCACCAGATCGGAGCTAAACACCTTGGGGCACTGCACGCCATGCAGATCCATGCTGTTGCTATTGTTGCTATTGCCACTGTTGTTGCTGTTGCTGTTGGTGTTTGTGTTGGTGTTTGTGTTGGTATTCCCGCTATGCTTGATGGGATTAATGATGCTCTCGTAGAAGCTCTCCATCTCCAGTGTTTGGCTGTCGTTGGAACGCGACGATTGCGTAAAGTCAATGTGCGGCATGGAGATGCGCTCGTTGGAGCCCATCGCTGAGCGCATCATTTGCGCCTCGTCCGGATTGTTGAAACGCAGATAGTTCGAGTTGCCAATGGTTATCATGGCACCCTGACTCAGTTTCGCCTCCTCCACGTCATCCAAAGGAGCGCCGTCGATCAGCACACGCGCCTCCTGCTCCGGCACCAGCGTCACCTCGTTCTCCTCGCTTCTATAGATGGTGCAGTGCAGCGGTCGGACACCGCTGCCGTTCAGTGAGATGCTGCAGTTCGGAGCTGATCCGATTGTTGTGTCGCCTGTCAATCAAACAAAAAAAATTGTCGTTTTAATAAAAACAAAAAAAAAATCACATAACTGTAATTGTAGCACTGAGTTGTAAGCTATTCTAAATGTAAATTCTAACCGTTATTTGTACTGTTGTTCTCACTCTCGTCCTCGTTGCTGTCGTCCGTTTTACCGTTGCGTTAGCTGCTCTCTCTCCCTCTCTCGTTCGCACGCACGTGCGTTCGGCGCGCGATTGAGGCGTTCAGAGTGAAGCAGCGCCGCAACAGGCTGAGCCGAGCCCGGGCTGAGCTGACAACGGCGAGTGTGTGCCCTTATCTGGTGCTCGCGCAGAGAGCAGCAGCAACAACAACAACAACAGGGCGTCCTCGTTAAAGCACAGTTTACCGTTTTACCGTGTCAAAGATTATGCACAGTGGGCAAAGCTTTATGAGTTTGGCAGCAATAATTAAATTGAATTGACATTACCGCAAATTGTATATTGTATTAATTATAGCTAACGATAATGTTTAGTATTATAACTTGAGTTTAATTAGTGTTTGATTAATTCATTTTGAAATACTACATAACCTAAAATTACTAAAATGTTAAGCTTAAAAACATTATTACAATGAAAGTTTTAATGTTTTCTTTAATTAAAATAAAAATATTTAAAAAAAAGGTAGTCAAGTCTCTCTGCCAAATTAGTATATGTTGGCAAATAAAAGAAATACATTTTATTGTTAAAGCCCGATTTGCATAGGGATTTTTCTCAAAATTATACAATATATTAATGTTATCATATTTTGTTTAATTTTTTTTTTTTTTTTTCTTGTCAATTAATTTTAAACGCAGTAAGGCTATAAAAAATTTGTTTAAATGTTTATAGTGTTATAATTTAGTTTTATTTTTCTACAATATGTGAAAGCTTCCACCGCTATGATATAAGGCTTACATATGCATAATCTTTAAGGCCGCTATCTTTACGATGGTATTTGGTCATATACTAGCTGCTAAGATCCTAAAAGCTTAGAGACTCTCTTTGGGCACACTGTGCGGATCTTATCGCAGCGCACAATAAGAGTACCGAAAATGCGTGTTGTTGTTGTTTCTTATTTTTATTTTGTGCGTTGCTTTCGCGTGCGTTTCATTTGCCTTTTGAATTGCTTTCTTGAATTTGAGTCTCTTCAGTTTTGCTTATCGGCTTACAAATGACCTTGGTGGGCACAAGTATATGTACATATGTATGTATGTTTGTATGTGTGTATGTATGTACATGTGTATATGTGTGTGTTTATGCATATATTTACTCACCAATATGTATGTAGTGTATGGTGACAGCGGTGCTGAGGCGTCCGCCGCCCAAGCTAACCAAATGTGGATCAGAGGCAGCAACACGCAACGACGGATCCTTTTTCGTCAATGACATCTGCAAGCGATCGAAAGAGAAGTGCGAAATGCAGGCGATCAGAAAGAATGAATTTGAATGCGAAAAGGAATACGAAAAGGGAGAGCGTCAACAAGATGACGCCGATGCGTGTATTTGGCAAGGCGTGAAATTGTCAACTGAGGCGGCAGTCGGCGTTCAGCTCAAGCCAGACACAACTAATGTGCACATATAAACACACAAACACACACACGCATACATGCATAGCCACATTCACACACACATATAGCCGAGATGCACCTACACGCGTGCGCAGCGGGTGCAGCTGCTCTAAATTGCTTTTGTTTTGTTTCCTTTCTATGTAATGAGCAGGACGTTCGCTTATTCGCTTATTCTTTCACTCTTACTCTCCCTCACACGCACACGCACACGCACAAACACACACATACACTTACTGCCGGCGCGCGCGCTTCAACAGACACGTGCGTGCGTTCGTGCGTATGTGCGCGCGCTCTCTTGGCCCAGCTGTGCGCTTAGATGCTGCCGCGGCGTCGGTGTTGCCAGATCGTCAAAGCCCATAGGAAATCAATTGGAAAGCTAATCAATCAACGACGTTGGGCAAATAAATAAAGAATGTGGCGTTTGATAACACACACACACATACGTACGCACGTATCGCATAAACGACCTGAGATGCGTGAGTGTGGGGGAGACATGGAATGTAAGCGAGCGACACACACTCATTTAAGTTTTTACTTTTATTTTTGGGCGCGGAAATGACTGCGGTGGGCCGTTTACGAAACGTTTCAAACGCCAAATTGGGTCATAAACACCACTAGTGGCCGAGAGGCTACTCGAAAAAGATAGAGTGTGTGTGTGTGAGAGAGAGAGAGAGAGAGAGAGAAGGAGGCAGAGCGAGCAGGCAGGAAGCTTAGTCAACGCAACAGCAAAGGCAAAGCGATTAAGCTACATCATCGTCATCATCATTATCATCATTAAAAGTATGTGTGCTTAGTGTAGCTCTCTGTGTATGTTTGTGTGTGTGTGTGTGTGTGTGTTTATGTGGGCCAAACGTATGGATAACTATGAAATGAGAGCAACTCGCTGCGCGTACTGATAAAGCTTTCATTGGACACGCATCATTTTCATTTGTTACAATGTGCTGTCATTGTTGTTGTCATCATTTTTTACCCCCGCCGCAAATATCACTATCAGCAGGCGTAACGTTGCGAGTTATAATTACAGTTACAAGTGCGTATCTATGTGTGTGTGTGTGTGTGTGTGACACACCGGCGCGACATCGGTCAGTCTGCATCTATGAAACACACACAAACATACATACATACATACATACATATACATACATACATATGTATACAATCACATGCATTCGTAGACAGTAATTTCGTTAAGCTCTGCACAATTTGTAATTGTGTAACTATACACTTGTGGAACGCATGTGAATCCCCATTTGACATGTCTAATGGCATGTGGATTGTGGAAATCACCTAAACTGCTGCTGTATTAATTTTAATTTATGTACATACATATATGCACGCAACTTGCCGTCCACAATTCTAGTCGCGTGCTGCCACACAACTAGATACACCTCACACACACACACACACACACACATGCACTTTCCAGTGACGTCTATTGTGCCGTCGGGTTTGATAACTGAACTGACTACGGCCAGTGGATCATTTCCCTCTGTCATTCCCATATCCATTTGCCCATTACAGTAAACATTATGAAATGCATTTCTTAGTTTTTATAGCTCACTTTGCAGTTGTTGGCAACGCTTTTAGTTTGTGTCTTTCTTTTGTTTTGTTTTGTTTTGTTTTGTTTTCATTTGCCTTTTGATGCCTCACACGTCATCTTTGGCATAGTCTGCGTCATGAGACAGACGAGACGGGACGGTGGAACTGGCATCAAGAGTGCCAAGATGTGTAATAAATAATCAACGAAAACAACAACAACAACAACAATGAGCTGCCAAATGAGTCAGAGAACTGCTGCAATTACAACACCAAGCTGAAGAAAAGGCAGCAGCAGCAGCCGAAGAAAGAAAGAAAGGAAAAACAACAGCACGACTTGTGCAGATAGATTCCACAGAGCTAACTGTATTTGACTCTGCCTTTGTATTTTAAAACTCTCATTTGCAATGCGCTGTGCGCAGTATGCAAAGTGGGGTATATTAGTTGCATACAGCAAATTGTTTAATTTCAAAGAGTGGTCAATATCTAAATAGTGTATTGTCTTGTTGATCAAAGACTATTTTTGGTTTTAATGGGGCATCAAAATTTAGTTAAAATCCACGGCAATTTTTTAAGATATATTTATATGTACCTAAAACGACTTCCGTGAGTAAGCCAACTTTACACTAGTTTCGAAATGAATTGGCATAAATAAAGTTTATATATAAATATATATGTATATATTATAAAGGTAATTAAGTTTTGTACTGACTTGGCTAAAAATACTTTTGCTTTTAAATGCATCACGAAAAAAACAAAAAATTTAAATGCGTAACAAACAGATTGTTTAACTAGCTGCTTACTAACACCGGCTAATTAGTCACAATCTAAACAGATGTGGCGTGAGTTGGCTGCATAATGAACTCTCCAAATTCGCTGGCAACTGTTTGATAAAAAGAGAGAAACAATAACCAAAACAAAACCACCAAAACCGCACTCCAACAACGCATGGCAGATGGGAGATATAGGAATTTGCGAAGCCAAACAAACAACAATGGGACAAACAGTCAACAGAAAGCGTCAACGCAATTAACGTTTAATTCTTTTTTTTTTTGCCATTGCCAGAGCCTATGCATATCTAACCTCTACACTCACACACACACACACACACACTTATACACACATATATATATCCCTCAGTCAGTATTAGAGTTCCAATAAACCGTTGGCCACCCATTTCCAGCACATCCCGCAGCGCCGATAAATTGTTTGCTTTCGCTGGTGCAGCCGCAGTTTCCTCTCCCTCTCCCTTTCGCACGCGCTCGCTCATAGCACTAGTGGCGCTGTCTCAGTCTGGCCGGCCGGCAGGTCGTAAACATTACAGGAAAAATGAAAACGCATACATTGCCATTTTTAGTTGCCTTTATTTATAGAGCGCAAACACAGCTGTGTATCCAACTTGAAAGTAAAAACACCGTTTCAATAATATAGTGCGGGCGACAGAGTGGGAGAGGGAGAGCGCGAGAGAGCAAAAGAAAAGGGGGGCAGGCGAGTGCCTGGAATGAGCAGGCACAATTGGGAAGGCACAGGCACACGCACCCACAGACAGACATACACACATACATATGTACATACATAAATACAGATGGGACGAGTCAATGCATTAGCGCACCAACTGTCAATAATACTCTTATTTTCAATTGGCAATCGCTGTTTTTCGGCTGTCAAAGCATTTGGCTTTGGTCTTTGACTTGTTTACTTGTTTTACTTTTTTCTTTCTATTTTTTTTTATGTATCTCATACTTATTTAGCTGGGATTCTGGACAAGGGCAACGGGCTGTGGGCGGGCTTTAAGCGTTTGCTAATTGAATTTGCCTGTTAAGACAAAATATTTGCCATGACTTTACCGTGGGCTGGAAACTATCTATTCCAATAAAGAAAAAATATGTTTTTTTTTTTTTTTTTTTTTTTGAGCTGTTAATAAATGCGAATGCGAATGCGAATGGGATGCAAAAAGTATGTCAAACATTTGGAGTGGTTTGGCCACGCGTGGGTTTTTCCTTTTTTCTCTTCAAAGTGGACCTCACACTAGTTCTCAGCTCAATTTTCAGTTTGAAGCTGCTTGGCTGCCACCACTGTATTTGCTTTCGCATTCACTTGAATTCGCCCACACTTCCACGGACTGATGATTGTATTGTCTTCCGTTGGAAGTTTCGCCTGGAAGTATTGTGTGCTGCAGCAGCAGCTTCTCTGCTTGACCATATGCGTGCATCTGCTATCTCACTCCTGCATACTCCTTTCGCACTCGCACACTCAACTGGATCGCATAAGTATGCGAGAGGGAATGCGGGAGTAAGGGAGAGAGGGCGAAGCTTATAAGCCAATCTGAGACTTACCTTGGGCTGGCAGCCAAAATGTGGATGGCATTTGGGGCTAGACATGCAAACTAGTTTTTATACACATTAGCCGCACACAAATAAAATGTGACACATGGCGGACACAATTACGAAAAGTACACGACATGTACAATGTACATAATTATGTATGTACATACATACATATGTACATATGAATGTGTGCATGTGTGTTAATAAAAATAAACATTTACCTACACCGGACTGCGCAATTTAAATAAAAAAACATGCAGAGCATAGCCAAAATTTTCAAATAAAAACAAATATGTTTTTTTTATTTTTTATTTAATTTATTTTAGGTTTTATTTGAGGCCGCTGGGGTCGACGACAAATCTAAGTAAAACCGCGCGCGATTTTATTCGCGTGCGTTTTTATTTTGTTTATGGTTTGTGAAGGTCACTCAGGCAGCAGCACATCAGTGGCGCCGACGCCTGCGCATAGAGGGCGTTTAATTTACATACAAAGATAATTGCATGCATACATACATACATATATGATAAATATCCCCATCGTACGTGCGTGCAATAAGTGAAAAAAAAAGAGAAAAAGTCACACGACTGCTTGCATACATACAAACATGCATGCAAGCCGAGGTGCATCATACACACACAGACACACATATGCATAAGCACGTACGTATGCATGTACATAAGTGAGTATGAGTGCAGCGTGTTAAATTTAACGAGCTGCTGAATTTATTATTGTCGTTGCTGTCAAAGGGTTTATGTGACTTGAGCACACACACATGCACACATATGTATTTATATATATTTGGTATATTAACGTATTAACCCCAACCACACACTGCCACCTAACGGTTAACTGTGGGGGCGCCACTTGAAACTGTCAAAAATGAAGATGCCTAAATATCTCCCTATGTCTATGTGTGTGTGTTTGTGTGTGTCTGTTAAGTGGCTTGTTAATTATGCGT